TTCCTGCTCTCTAGAGTATCCTCATCGTCACAGTGCCAGGCATCCCCAGTTGTCAGGAAGAAATACATGGGTTGAAACCAGCTCAAGCCCGCTGCTCTCTTCAAAGTTTCTTTATTCACTGTTTGGTTTTTTTGTACTTTGTGTTGGGCTGAGCCATGTGTACACTCCCCGTGCTGGTCTGGCTGAGTTGTTTATAACCGTGAGGTCTCCACTGTCAAGTCTGTGCCCCAAAGTGCTCTTAAACACTTTATGCCTGTACTCCTTCATGCCACATCCTTTGTTTTCACTTCTCAAAGCTGCTACTATTATATCAGATCTGTATTTCATTATGTTAACAGACAGCTATATCTCATTCTACATCAGGTAACTGCTTGGCACTGCTGTCTATATAAGACTATGATCATACTATAGAAAGATAAACCAAAAGTAAAATAAATTAGCCACAGACGTTTGGTCAAATAGAAAAGTTACTGTTGCAGCTAAACCAAATAAAACAAAGTTGCAGACAGGCCAGTAAAAGATCAGACTAAGCAAGCTTGACAAGCCTCACTTATATACTTATATAAGATATATAGCTTCACAGTTGAGCTCTTTTAGTTGTGTGACAGCAGAGGAGCCTGGGGATTAGAGAGGACTTGGGGTGGGTGGCAGCTGGGCAGCTGGGCTTGCTGGGATGGGTCTGGAGTCCCTCTTCCTTCCATGAGTCTCGAGTGAGTGCAGGAGTGGAGGGAGCTGGAGGGGTGCAGGGCACAGAGGACGGAGAAGGACCAGAGGCTGATTTTTTTCTTCTCTTCGCTCCTGTTCATGCTCAGGCCCTCTGAGTCTCCTAGGTTTCTGTCCATGGAGAGGAACCTGAGGGAGGTTCCTCCACAGATTCCTTCCTCCCAGAAGTCCCATGCAGGGCAGAGCCCCACACGCTGATCTGGCATCACTCAGTGGTGATGCTGATCTCTGTGCTCTCTCCTGGGGCTCCCCTGACCTCTGCTCCACCCAGCAGTGGCACTGCTGACGGATGGGAAGGATGGAGCTGAAGGTGGGGAGATTCAGCTGCTTGAGCTCCCTGCACAGCTGAAGCCATTGTCTTTATTGCTCCCAGCAGCAGAGGTTTGGGGGCTCCTAGCAGGCAGCAGCACATTTCAGAAAAACAACTCAAAAAGACCAACTAGAAACAATGCAGGCAGAAATGTTGTCTCTCTGGGTGGATCCCCCTGGCCAGGGGCTGCTAGGTCAAGAGTTATGGGACAGAGGAGAGAGGCAGTTCCCTGCCTGCTCAGGGGGAGTGCAAATGTCCTGGGTCTGATTGGGATGGAATTAATTTTCTTCATAGCAACCTGTATGGTGCTGTGACTGGTGATGAAAACAGTGTTGATAAGACATAGCAATAGCTACTGCTGAACAGTGCCTCCACGAGGACACCGCCTTCTCTATTTCTTACTCTACCCCCCACCCCTCCCAAAAAATAGGCTAGGGGGTCAAGTTAGCGTTATAGTTGAGGTTAGCAGTAGAGATTGGCACTCTGAGGTGCCTGCATTCACCAAAGTCACTTGGAGGCACCTGACGCACTTCAGAGGTCTCTCTTCAAACCCTGCACAGCACAGACATATACACAGATGCCCATCCTGCCCACCAGATAGCTCTGGGTGATGCCTGAACACACTGAAAGGCACTCACAAAGCCATGGTGGCCATCAGAGGGCCCTCGTAGACCACTGGATAGGGTTAGGTTTAGGTTTTAGGTTGGGATTATCATTAGAATAAGGGTTGAGGTTAGGGTAGGGCTTCGGGATTAGGGTGAGGGATCAGAGTTTGGTTCAGGATGAGCATTTGACTATGGGTTAGGGTTCATTATTGTTGAGGTTAGCATGAGGGATTGGCACTGCGAGGTGCCTGCGTTCACCAAAGGTACTCGGAGGCACCTGGAGCGCATCTGAAGGTACTCTTCAACCGCCCTGCACAGCACAGAAATGTACATGGATGCCTGTCCTGCCCTTTAGATGGCTCTGGGTGATGCCTGAACACACCAAAAGGCAGTCACAAAGCCATGGTGCACATCAGAGTGCCCTCGTAGACCACTGCAGGTCAATTAGCTCTAGCGTTAGTGTTGAGATAAGGATTACAATAACAGCTAAGTTTAGGGTAGGGTTTCGGAGTTAGCATGAGGCATTGGGTTAGCCAGAGCCCAGGTCCAAAACGGACACCCGTCGACTAGGGCTGTCACACAGAAGTGGCCAGGAAGGTATAAAACATCAGCTTACCCAAAAAGCTTTTGAAGCAGATCCAACAGCAGCTGGACTGCTGAGGCTTCCGTGGTTCCTGGTGTGATACAGGAGACACCCGCGCCGTGTTGGAGGAGGAAGGATGAGCACTCTCACCGTCAGCTAGGGAACTTTTTTCCTCATAGGCACGTGAATTAAGAGTTATGGTTATAAGTTATGAAATCTTATGACCTGAATAAGTGAATTCACGTGATAGACCAGTCTAGGCAACAGGGGATTGAGTCCCTGTTTGTCATGTTTTTTTTGTCAAATTTCTTAATGAGCTCATGAAATAAAGTTTAAATCACAGAGTACGTTGTCCTGTAACTTTGAGAGATCCAAACGGACCGTGACAGCCACTAACCCTAACCCAAAACCTAATAGGCCCAAACCCAAACCCTAATCCTAACAGCCCTAAACCCTCAACCTAACCCTAACAGGCCCTAACTCTAACGCTAACCTAACCCTAACTCTAACGGCCCTAACCATAACCCTAACTCTAATAGGCCCTAACCCTAAAAGTGACTCAAACCCTAACACTAACCCTAAACCTAACCCTTACCTTAACAACCCTAACCCTAATATTAATAGGCCCTAACCCTTACCCTGACCTTAACGCTAACCCTAATGTCCCTAACCTTAACCATAACACTAACAGGCTGTAACGCTAAGCATAACTCTAACCCTAATGACCCTACCCTTAACCCCAACCCTAACACTTACAGGCCCTTATCCTAACAGCCCTTATCCCAACTTTAATAGGCCCTAACCCTAAACCTAACCTTAACCCTAAAAGCTCTAACACTAAAACTAACCCTAGTCCATTCAAACACACAGATTTGAGGATTTTTTTGACTAAATGAAGGAGGAGGCATATTTCACTTCCTATGCCTTTCCATCCTTCCGATGCCCTACATCGTGGGGAGTTTATATGACAATTTTTGGAGCTCATTCATGCTGTGTAATTACAGAAAGTCACATCACGTTTCTAAGCATCCTAGGAAGTTTTGGGGGGCAGTAAGCTTCCTTGCTTCCCAGTGAGGTTTACAGCTCTGGAAATGAACCTGAGAGTTTAGATTACAAATAAAATCAGGTGAGGAAGGTGGGACAAGAAAGCAGGGAAAAGGGTAGAGTTGGATAGTTGCTTATGCAAGTTTGGCTTGCAGGAAGGACAGCCACATGAACTCGCTAGGACACAGAGCTTCTCTTGCTCCAGACTACATCCTAGCTACTTTTTAGATCAGCATCACTCAAGGTGGAGTGCCAGCCATTTGGACTCGAGCACTGGATGTATACTATAAGGGAACAACAGTACAGGATCTAGACTTGAGGTTTTAAGTGAGCCACAGACTTCTGTGTGTTAAGGCTTATTAAGGCAAGGTTTATTAAGCTCAAGCTTATTAAGGCAGTTTTGAGATTTCAAGAGAAAACTCAATTACCTGAGTGGACTCAGATTCTGGCTCTGCCAGGCAGGAGAGGAGTCAGAGAAAGAGGCTGATCTAGGTACTTTGAATCACCCTTGAGGGGAGGCAATATCTCTCCATTAATTAGTAAGAGAGCGTGTTCTTTGTCTGAAGTGAGTACCATCATGGGTACATACTCAGGCCCTCAAAGAAAAGACTAACTTTTGGAAAGGGGACTTTGGGAGCAAAAAAAATTCATTTGAGTATCAGCAGTTAAGACCACTTTCTTACTGTGCTGGTTTTGGCTGGGGTAGAGTTAATTTTCTTCCCAGTAGCTAGTACGGGGCTGTGTTTGGGATTTGTGCTGGATACAGTGTTGATAACCCAGGGATGTTTTCGTTACTGCTGAGCAGTGCTGACACAGAGTCAAGGCCTTTTCTGCCTCCCAACCCACCAGCAGCAGGCTGGGGGAGGCACGAGAAGTTGGGAGGGGACACGGCCGGGACAGCTGACCCCAACTGACCCAAGGGATATCCCACACCATATGGCGTCATGCTCAGCATATAAAGCTGGCGGAAGAAGAAGGAAAGGGGGGACGTTTGGAGCGATGGCGTTTGTCTTCCCAAGTCACTGTTACGTGTGATGGAGCCCTGCTTCCCTGGAGATGGCTGAACACCTGCCTGCCCATGGGAAGGAGTGAAGGAATGCCTTGTTTTGCTTTGCTTGCACACGTGGCTTTTGCT